GTCCGCGCTTACTCAGGGCTTCACGCCGGCGCTTGGCGGTGCTGGGTGTGTGAGCCTGGATGTGCTTCCCCGCTCCTCCCAGTATCTGCGTGAGGATTGGCCGGGAATCGCAGCCAGGCTGAGCCTAGAGGGCTGCCAAGGGGGCTCTGTGCCGGGCTCTGAGCAGGGGCTGGAGATGCTGAGCGGGAGAACTGCTCTGTAGCCTGATCTGCACGGTGGGGTGGAGTGGTGTCCCGGTGTCACTGGTAGGCTCTGTTTCCAGGTGGAGAGCCCTGGGAGGGGGTGGCCCAAGCTGCCTGCTAAGCCCCAAACCACTGCAGGCTGCTGTTCTTTGGGCCTGCCGTGTCACAGGCTGGGGACATTTGGTATGGGTGACTGTGGGGCATGGTGACTGTGGGGCATTGCTGTGGGTGTCCTGGCTTTGATTGCCAGCCTGGTCCTGTGCTGCCTGTGCTCTGGGGTCACATGGGGCTCCTGGCTGTGCTGCAGCCAGAGGTGCCTGCTCTGTCTGGTCAGAGCAAGTCTCTGAAGAGCTCCAGGGACCCGGGGTTTGGGCGTGTGGCTTTGGTGCTGCCGTCTTTTAGGAAACACCTATTTAGTCGAATGCTTGCTCTCCCTCTGGTTCAGTTTCCTGCTTACCAGAAAAGAATTCTGAAGTATAGGCAAGCCCTGTATAGGGTCAGGGTATGTTTTGTCTTGCATGGGCTAGGCTTGTGCAAGCTGCAGTACCTATGTGATACGTGGGTGAGCTGCATCAGATACACATCCCCCGAGGTTTGACCAGATTGTCCCAGTGCTGCTCCTAGGGGAGGAAGACAGCTTGCTGCCTGCTCGCTGCCAGCTTTGGGAGGGAGGTGTACTCTCCCAGGGCTCTGTCCTTGGTGCCCTTATCTTTCCAGCCTCCATTATCTGTCTGTCTAAGCCTGTCTGTAAACAGGAATTCACATCCTGTCTCGTGCCAGCGACAAGTCTGCACTGCTGCTCTGCTCCTGGTGAAGGCTGTGTGTCCAGTGGCTCTACTCAGCCAGAGGCTGCAGTCCTTGTCCTCACCCAGCATCTGGCTTTTGCTGGCTTTTCCTGTCAGTCCTGCAGCTCTGGGGTCTGTGATGCCATGGTGTATAGTGTAAAAACCTTTCTGAAGATACCTAGCATTATCCAAAAGTCTCTGGAGGTGTCTTGGGGACTGGAAAGGAGTTTGGGATGGGAATTTGAAAGGAAGAAGAGTAACAAAGATGGTTTGGTCCTGGATCACGAGCACAGACCATGTCCTCCTGTAGCAGAGGTGTTGGGGTAGGGCTCTGGCAGTGGCAGCCAGCTGCATCCCTGTTGCTGACTCCTGCACTTTTGTTATGAATTTCGTAATGGTTTTGGGCTTATCTGAAACTACAACAGTCAGAGTTGGAGGAGCACG